AGTTGGTCGAAATGAGCTGATACTTCACCTTCGGAAGAAGAACTATGAATCTTTGCTATCAGGGAAATGACTAACCATCATTCTAGTATTCTAGTATTTATGGCGCAATCCGGTAAGTGCTTTCTGTATTCATTAGTTCCCCTTCCTTGTCAGAAGCCTCAACTCAACATGAACCCTCTACCGAGAGTTCTTCCCTATCTCGACCGAAGGTGGGTGCTATAGCAGGAGCATTCTCTCTCTAATAAAATAAGCTGTCATCAGGGACCTTTTATCATTATTGCTTTCTTCCTCGGTAGCTCCTTAAAGATGTATTGTGAGGACTTCAGCCTTCTAATAAGCAACTGCTAAGTTCGGTGCAGCCGAGCCAATTGGAGTGGCTTCAGTCTAGGGGTCAAGCATGGGATTCTTCTCAAATTGGGTACTTTTTCCTTTACTATTTCCCGCCTTCTTGAGCTGCTGAGAGGTCTAAGCCCTACCTATCCTATTTACGCGTCCCCTTTACTAAATAACTGGTGCTCGCGCACCCCCTTTACTAAATTCTTCGCTATTGATTTTGGGTAAATTTCAAAAATGATACCTCAACTTTCATAAAAAATTCGATTCCGTACCTAAACTTCAAAACCTTTCAAAAAAATCCCTGAACTTTGAAAACCTTTCACGAATGGTACCTGAAGCCGGTTTTCAGGTAACCAGGTCATTTAGGCCAAATTTTAATTTTTTATGTTTTACAATTTTTACTTTGACCCCATTTCTTTTTCTTCTTTTCCCTTCTCCCACTCCCTTTTCTTCTTCTTCTTCTTTCACCCCTTTTCTTGTTCTTCTTTTTTTTCTTCTTCTTCTTCTTTCACCCCCTTTTGTTATTTTTCTTCACCAAAGCTCCCCTCACCCCCTACCCCCTGCCAGCCCCCATCTCGCCCTTCCCTTCATCTTTTTTACTCCTACCTAGAGAGATTTCTTTAGAAAATATATCGAAATGAAAGTTTTATGCTTTTATTCCCAAAATAAGAGTTAAAATGCATATATAATGCTAAGAATAAGAATATATAATGCCAAAAAATATTATGAAATGTACATATATAGTGTCACTTTTTACAGTGGAAAATCCTATTTTGGAAATAAAAACACGGAGCTCCTATTTTTGGTACTTTTTCTATGTTTTACTCTTATTTAAAGCGATTTCTTATATCAAATTCTATTTCAGTTGATTTTTTTTTAATTTCCAATTTTTTGCTTTTTGTTTTTTTCAATTTCAATTATTTTTTTACTTTCAATTCTATAAATTCACCACATCTCCAGCTCCAATTTGAAAAAAATACCAACATAAAAATAAAATATGAAGAAAATACAAAATTAGGAGTTTCATGTTTTTATCACCAAGATTGTAGTTACAATGCCAATAATGTCACCATATCATACCAAAAAAATATTGTGAAATACAAATTTACAATGCCACAATGTCACAGTGCACACTCCTATTTCGAGGATAAAAAATATGGAACTTCTATTTGGAGATAAGAAATACATCCTCCGACCTGTAAAACTTATTAATTTTCACATCTTACTTTTCCAATAATAAAACATTTCAATTTAGGTTAGATGGACACCATTGCCTTTACTTTTCTTAAATCTAACCGAACCCACCCCAACTACCTTCTACGGCCTACCTGTTTTGACATTTCTCGAGTCATACTCGTTTCAATTGTCATTGTTTAACCTCGGTCAAACTTCAACAATTTTCCCTCCCAAAAGTTAAAACAGGAAATATTTTATGGCACAAAGGGAGTATGTTTTACTCCTATTTGAGGGAATTTTCTCTCAAATTTATCCACTTTCATCTCACTCAATTTACTCTCATCCCACTCTCATCAACATGATCAAAGCAGCCCATGCCATGATCAAAGTGGAAATCAATAGTATTTGTTTTTTAATTTTTTATAATTTGTAATTTTAGTTTAAATTTTAAGCATGTTAAAACTTTCGCTTTTATTAACTAGTATCGCACCCGTGCGTTGCACGGGTCATTTTTATGCTATTAAATTCAAATCATTTTTCGATGATAAAAAATGAGATGCGATAGAATATAGAGATTATACGTAGTATCATTTTAAGACTTCTTTATAGACTAAAAAAATTGAGATCTACGGTTGTCCTTCATCTACGTAGTATCATTCTATTCTTAAAAGTAGGGGAATTCCGCCCCAAGCTTTTCCCGCCCAAAGCACATTCATTCAGCACCATTGATTTCATTAGATCTACGGTTGTCCTTCATCTTCATAGACTACCAATTTAATAGATTCTATTTAAGGTATCACAATTAACTCTCACATATTGGAATTAATGCGGCATACTAATTCATCATGAAATATTATTAGTAGTGTGAAATTAATAATAAATAAATATAATTAAATGGTAGATTGTGCGTATTATTGTTTTAATACATGGTGAAATTTAATTAAAATGAGACATATCATATCGTCCCATTTCTAAAATTAATAAACAAACTAATAAATAAATTTATAAATATAATTAAAAAATAAATAAATATAATTAAATGGGACTTTGACCATGTGTAATTATTTATGTTCCCATATAAATTATCATGAGTATAATTTGTAACATAAATTACGTTCATGAATATAGTATACTATATATAAATGTAAGAATAAATAAAAATAAATGAAAACATGTAAAATTGTGACCGTGTAAAACATACTACGTAAATGGTAACGTAACTAATGACTAAATATGTCAGGATCGTTAATAACCATATAACATGTGACCTTATTAAATGGTACCATTAATAAAAATAATAATAATAATTGTTCGAAATTAAATGTTAATTTTACAGCACGGTACTTGGAGGAATACAGCAATGGTAAATAAATAAATATTCTAATTAAATGGAGTGTTCTAAATAAAATGGGGAACGCTAATCGCTAACGCTATTCCCAAACAGGCCAGTACCATGTTGTATCAAAACTTACCATTTTATTTAGAACTCTCCATTTATTTAGAATATTTATCTACTTACCATTACCGTATTCATCCCCATTTTATTTAGAACACTCCATTTAATTAGAATATTTATTTATTTACCATTTCCGTATTCCTCCAAGTACCGTGCTGTAAAATTAACATTTAATTTCGAACAATTATTATTATTTTTATTAATGGTACCATTTAATAAGGCCACATGTTATATGATTATTAACGATCCTGACATATTTAGTCATTAGTTACGTTACCATTTACGTAGTATGTTTTACACGGTCACAATTTTACATGTTTTCATTTATTTTTATTTATTCTTACATTTATATATAGTATACTATATTCATGAACGTAATTTAAATGCTATAAAAGGTAATAACAATAATACATATAAGTTTGATAATTGCAACAGATAAGTGCGTTTTTTCATAATTAAATTCTCATATTTTTCCAGGACCATGGCTCATTATTATTTTCATAATATATGGTACAATAAACGCACTTATGTTTCTCTAATGATTTTTATTCTTACCATTTTTATTATATGGTTTTTATTACTATTCCAATGAAATATCCATAATAATAATCAACCGTTGATCAAGATGTCAAAGCTAATCAACGGTTTACAATGACACATTGTTTGGGCGGGAAAAGCTGGGCCAAAATTCCTCTGCTTTTAAGTATAGATAGATGTAATATTTTGCATTTAGTTACGTTGTAAAGCATTTTATATTTATTGTTTTTTTATTGTTATAACTCTTTTTTATTTTTTTTAATTATTTATCTATTTGTATTAATTGGTAAACATTTTTATTAAATTTATATAAGTTTTTAAGAAAAAAATGATAAATATTATAAAATAAATGGAGAGGCAGGGCGAGTGGATAATAACATTGCTGGTGTTTTAGCCTTGTACAGAAAAGAGAGAATGATGATGAGGCAGAGTTTGGGATAGGACGAGAATCCGCTTCATTGTAAATGCTCTTAGACAATAATTTGTGACTGGAGTACTTGATAAGTTGCCACGTAGGTTCTCGTAAGCGTGTGAGTGTGAGTATAAAAATGTGTTATGTTGTGATATTGTGGTCCTAAAAAATATGTGAAATATGGACATTGTTAACAATTTTCTACGACTCGTAGTTGGATCTCTTTTTTTTTTATAATACTCAATAGATACAATCATTTTATGTATTAAACTCTATTAAATAATAATAATAAATAGACTATATTAAACATCGGTTAATAGGATGTAGGATGTACAAATATAATTCTCCCTTAAAAAGTATAATTACAATTTTAGTGTATTTTATTTGGTGAGAAATTTACCTAAATAGGACTAAAACATAATGACTTTCCCAATATAAGACCATATGTTTTTATTTCCCAATGTAGGACTTTTGGTTATTATCAAGTAGTCATTATTCAACTAAATATCCATCATTACTGGACATTATTTCTTCCACTAGGTCATTAATAAGTCCTATTTAGAGAATAAAAAAGTTTAAGTCCTACATTAAGAAAGTCATTATGTTTTAGTCCTATTTAGTGCAAATTTCACTTCTTTTTTCTCCAAACACTCTCTTTCCAAATTTCAAAATTCATATCATTTCTTTTAAATTTTAAAAGTCATATCTTATCATATCTACAAACTCACCAAATAGGACTTTAAGATCTTTGTAATTTTTTAGTTATACTTCTTTAAAGATCCCAAGTGTGTCCAATCTGGCCCCAACTGCATATGTGTGAAGGGAAAATAGGGGGTGGGGGTAAGGTTGGGGAGACACTTGGGGTCACGGTACAAGAACCATAACAATTTTACCTGCCCACCGGTTCCAAGGTGGTGACCGTGAGGTTCAACATCAAAATAAATCCTCTGGTTGGTAGTTTCAGATGATCTGTAGAGCCTATTTACATGTTGCAGACAACACAAATTAAGGATTCGGCTCTTCTAATTGGATGCCGTACATAATGTCAATAATAATTTTAATTCCAACCCCCCCACGAGGCAAATGGAGCAACAAGTTTTATGTATCAATGACACAGTGACCATAAAACCATCCAAACCAAACAGTGGAAACTAAAAACATATATCAGTTCAAAGATGACTCTTTTTTGGAATGGAAGGAATTATATCAATTTAAGGACACCGAGTATCCAATTAAACTTACTTGTAAACAATGTCAACAGTGTTCCGAATGTCCCAGCAGAGAATATAAGGATCCTACAGCCGACAAAGATGGACTTTGTCAGCATTTTTATACATAGATATATGACATGCAACATCAAAGTCAAGGAGTTACATATAGGTTCCCTTATTTTATTACCTTACGCCCTCCAGTATACAAGTAGTTTCCATCTGTTGAAAATTGCACCTGAAAGGATATGTCTTGTTTAATTTCTTGTAAAGTACTTTCAATTTCAAAAGTACGTGTAACTAAAAAAGAAATCTACTTAAATAAAACTACAATATGTAATTTATACAAAAATAACTTCTATATTATACTCTCTAAATACAAGGGTTGGCACTGTGAAATGTCTTTACAGTTTTCTTTTTTTTTGGCATTTTTTGGCATTATAAACCCTATTTGGTATAAAAACATTGAATGACATATTTTGGTATATAAAGCATGTTTCAGTCTTAGTTAGGTATTTCTCCCTAACTAATAAGGCCAACCAGGTCACAACTTACTTGAGTGACACCACCTTCTTGGCCATGCAATACATAAAGCAATTCCATGTTATCTTCTCTATACATTGCAGTGGTTTGGCTATATGAACCGGTAGCCAGCAATCCATTATGGCTAGGAGAGAAAGCAATTGAGGATATAATTCCTGTCATAATATTTGAAATTTTCATCACTTAAGAGATTACTACAGGTAAAAGAACATGAAAAGTGATTATTGTGAAAAAATGAAACCAACAAAGTTACATATACAGGTGTGAAATTTATTTATTCCCGATGTTACCTATCTCTAGAAAACTAGAATATCCCTTAATTGCATTCAGAAAGTTGTCCTATGATCCTATCTGTTTGACAATACATTGTTATGTAATAGCTGCAAAGTAATGCAAGCTCATGTTTTTTTACCTCAAAAATACTATTACTTGTAGCTTTCAGAGTGGTTGGTTAAACGGGTTTTGTTGGGGTCGGGAGAGTAGGCAAACCAATTTTAGAATCCTTGAAAGACTTGTTCACACAAGGTTTTTAAAAGTACAAGGGAAAGACATTTATTCGACCAACAAATCTATTTCTGTCTTCAAACTCTCCATAATTTGATTGTAGACCCAAAAATACCTGATTGCCCTTCTTTTTTACCATCAATAGTTGAATGGTGTCCATAATCTCTTCCGGGTCGATGAATATCAAACACTTTAAGAGATTTGTTGTAACCTGCAAATATCCTAGAAATGAAAGGGAAAAAAATTGACTTTGTATATAAACTAGCTACATCTGCCTACATGCAAGGACTAACAAGGGAACTTTCCATTCTTGACAGATATATAAACATAGCATCAAACTTATTTGTTTAGTTAGCTCAACAAGTATTATGTATTATATATGAAGTATAAACACTGGGTGATTTATCGCTCAGCGACTAGATTTTTCATTACTTGAATACAACCCAACAAAAATCTCAAATGTTGTAACTATATATCCCGTATAAGAAAAACCAACATTCCCTCCACTAAATCAGTGGTATCAAATCTCTTCTGCTGTTAGTATCATTACTAATTTGCTAGGAAATGTTCTCATTGAATAAGACAAGGCTCCAAGAATAAACTTAGTCAGATGCAAGACAAATTTTAACATGAAATCCTAAATAGTGGAAGTTTTACTTGGTCCCTGAAGGGTTGAAAGCAATCGAGAAGGCAGCCGTGATTTCATCCACCGCATTATAAGCACGATATGTACAACGTAGCTGCAATATACAAGTAAATATCAGCTGTTGACAAAATAAAATTAACTAAGTGAATCACAAAGTATCTTGATGGCGCTATGACACACCTGTCCATAATAAGCATCCCAAAGATGAATTGGGTGGTCACGAGTGGAAGTAGCAAAGACACATGTATCTGGACCTGAATCACATGAACCAAATATAAATTACACTGACATGACCTGCAAATGACATCACCAAATTAAGTTATTAATAGTAATAGACATACTTGAAGACGACATGCAAGGATACCAGCAGTAGTCATAAACAGACTCTCCCTCACTAATTTCTACACTTGCTGAATAGGAATCTGCATATTGTCGGTCGTACTGTCAATATGTGGAGTTAATTCCAGTCAAGTTTAATATCAATCCAACAGAATTTAAAAATCAACCCACTCCTAGAATATGTTGTTTATAACAAATAACAGCCCAAGAAGACAAATCTGGATGTCAAAAAAGAAAACTTACCAGTATCTTTAGCTGCTGAACTATCAGCCACAAGGTATCCACTTTCGTCATAGGGTCTAAAGAACGAAGCAGATTGAAGTGTTAGAGTGACTTCTCATCATAAATGCAAATGGATCATCTACATAATCTGTGTGGTGTTATTATTCTTTCCATGTCCCATTCCAAGATTATTCATTTTTTTTTTCAATTTGCACATTTGTTTCGACCGTCAAAATTATTCAACAACAAAACAAATTCTATCTTTAATGTCCCATTCCAAAATTAATCATTTTTCATTTTGCTCTTTTGTATTGGCCTAAAAGTTATTCAACGACAAAAAAAGATTCAATCCTTAAAGGAAAGAACTGCAATTCAAAAGCTTACAATGAGAATATACTAAGAGTGTTGTCATGGGAGCAAGCAAGGAAGCAAGAACCGTCAGGTGACCTAGAAAAGATTGCAAATTAATGAAATTTTCGATGAAACAAAAATGTTTCTAGCTGTTTATGTGTCTGAAATCTAAATACATACCATCTGACGCCCTTTAAAAAGTTGTTAGGGTTCAAAGGGGTTCGGAATTGGTTGTAAAAATGATAACTGCGATACGGCGGAAGAGCATAGTTGATGAGCGGCCAAGATTGGGAGGAGGCTTCGTCCGGCTGAGAATCAGTTCCCGTGTTGAGCTGCTGCTGCTGCGGCGGTGTTTCTACTTCTTCCGCCATTGTTTCCCTGTAGAAAACTCCCAAGTCCCAGCCTTTCACTTTCGCTGCCACACAGCCGCCGCAATTTTCGGGAGAGTGGCGCCAAAATAATACTACTCCGTAGGTTTCTTTTACACTCTCCGCGCTAGCCCCTCTCCCCCCAACCCAATTTTCTTCTCTTGTTTTGTCAAAGAGAGGCTGGTAAAAAAACTCACAAAAATCACATTTTTTAAGAAAAAAAAAAGATGAACATCATCCCCTCCCGAGATCTCCCTCATATCCAGTCAGACCAGAAAGTAAATTAGATTTTGATCAAAGATTGATGGTAAAGAGTAGAGCCTGCACGTAGTACTTGTAAAGGCTCTATGCTGGAAATTGAATTCGGGTCTTACCACTTTGACACTCTTTGCCTTTGCTATCTGCGTAACCTTATTCCCAGATTGATCGCACATTTTTTTAAAATTATGTAAGATCATTTTTAGTGAGGTTTACTAGTAAACTGTATTTTTTTGAAGTTTTTTTTTGCTTGTGATGCTAACAATTCTCTTATTTTTACTATGTTTGATAATATTTTTTTTTTGAAAAAAATTGAATGTCTGAAAATGATCTTCCCATTCTATTTTTTAATATGTTACATACCCGTTCTCATAATTTATTACTTTTCATTCATACTACCTCCGTCCCGCTATATTCGTCCACTTTTGACTTTTGGAACTGTTCATCTAAGCACTTTGACTCATCAAATTCTCTCAATGTGTAAGCCTAAATATAGTCATGTGTGATCTTATTTGATTTGTCTTAACATATAGATTATTAATATATAATTTCTATAATTTTTTAATACACAAATTACAAGATAAAATGGATTAAAGAAGTGCATTGAATGATGTGTAAAAATGAAAGTGGGCAAATATAGTGGGATGGAGGGAGTATCAGTTAACAAACTCCTCATTTTTTAGAGAATGGACAATTCCTATTGTTTTTCAATTCTCCGTAAAATAAGTAAAAATCAACTTGCAATGATCATTTTTGAATGAAAGAAGTACGAAGTACTATTTTACACAAAAGGTTTAAAACCACATTTTATACGTACTAATAGGTGTTACGTGTTTAAAAGTGACTTGCTAGCACGACTAGCTTAGATAGTTCTGAGGGAAAAACATTAATTTAGAAGTCTCAAAATTAATTTATGACATCGACAATATATAAATACTACCTCCGTCCCAGAGTATTTGTCCACTTTCATTTTTACACACCATCCAATACACTTCTTTAATCCATTTTATCTTGTAATTTGTATATTAAAAAATTATAGAAATTATATATTAATAATCTATATGTTAAGACAAATCAAACAAAATTACACATGACTATATTTAGGCTTACACATTGAGTGAATTTGATGAGTCAAAGTGCTTAGATGAACAGTTCAAAAAGTCAAAACTAGACGAATACTCCGGGACGGAGGGAGTATTAGACTAAAATTATGCATAAAATGATTTATCCACTCATTAATCCATTTGGGAGCATTCAACTTAAAAAAAAAATTTCTTTAAGGCCCCGTTTGGTACATGGAATTCAAACCATGGAATTGGAATTGAGGATTTCAATTCCAATTCTGGTGTTTGGTAGCACAAAAATTATGTGGATTTGGAATTGATAGTGTAAAAAATACATTGGAATTGGCAGAATTCAATTCTATGTAATTGAATCTCATAGAATTTCAATTCCAATTCCGTCAATTCCATATACCAAACGGGCCCACTTTATGAGGTTGGCCACAAATCCACAATTGCCCATTGCTCAATTATTTTCTAAAGATGGGGGGNTGCAAAGATCATTTTTGAACAAAGAAGTACTATTTTACAAAAATGGTTGAAAACCACATTTTATACAAACTAATGGTTACTACATATTTAAAAGTGACTTGTCATCACGAATAGTTTAGATGATTCTGAAGAAAAAAATTAATCTAAAAGTCTTAAGATTAATTTAGGGAAAAATTACACTAGAATTATACGTAAAATGATTTGTCCCCTCACTAATCATGTGGGAGCATTCCATTTTTTTTAAAATAAAATTTTTCTGTAAGTGACTTGAAGTATGAAGTTGGCAACAATTGCCCATTGCTCAATTATTTTCTAAAGATGGGGGGTTGAAGTACAATTTCAAAAGGAATTAGGGGGGCTCCAGTCAAAACCTAAACGTGCAAATAAAGCGCTCAGAAAATCCCCCCGCCATGGCTGCCGAAGGAAAAACTCGAAACAGAGAGAGAATGGAGGCCCGTGAAACTGAAAAAGCGGTTCCATTTCAGCTTCAATTCGACAAGCCCATTGCTTCTCAGGTCTCCACCCTACCACTGCAGAAGCTTAATTAATCTTCTCCACAGCCATTTTCGTCTTCTTCTTTTTTACGGATTCTTGACATTCTTGGTTCACAGATAAAAATAGCTGAATGGAACCCAGAGAAGGATCTTCTTGCAATGGTCACTGAGGAATCGAAGCTTCTTCTTCATCGTTTCAATTGGCAGAGACTCTGGACTATATCTCCTGGTACATTCCAACTCTTCAATTTTCATTTTTTTGTTGCATTATACTATACCCATTATTATTTTCTTACTTTAGTTAAAAAATTATGTTCGGTTGAAATTCTAAAGTTGGACGTTGGAAAAAGTTGGAAGTTAATTTTTTTATGAACATAGCCTTAATAGTTGGAGCTGTTACCAATTTGTAGTCATCATTAGTTTTTTTTTTCATTTTGATTTTTGGCTTTTCCCTCTCTAGGAGTGTAAGCTGTTCTCTTCTCACTCCATTATAGTGATGCTTTGTCTTGTGAGGAAGAAAAAAAAAATGAACTTTTATAATTTTCTTAACACTGCTTAATTGTGTCTTAGGAAAGATCATTACATCTATATGCTGGCGACCGGATGGAAAAGCAATAGCCATTGGGCTTGATGATGGAACAATTTCATTGCATGATGTGGAAGTAAGTCCGTGTTCCGGTCAGTTATTTTCTTTTGAAAAAATAATTACAATTAAGTATCTCATTTATTTGTTGATGAAATATTAATAATAATTTAAATAATCATCATCATCTAAATTTCAACAGCGTTTGGGCCGGTATCATGAAAAACTAGGGTCAATTCACTATCTAAAATTAGGTAGCTATCTGAATACATGGCCAAAAAACATAGTCACAAGTTTATATTTGATTTCCTTCCTGCCGCAACTTTCTTATGACGGGATAATTAGATGAAATTTCATAGCCATGAGCGTAACATCAAGAGACTGCTATTACTCAAGATAGTTGGCACTGTCATTTTCCAGACATTTTTTAAAGCAACCCAGGCATTGTAAAATGACCACAAATATCAATTGTGGTGAAACCTTGCTAAATTTGACTATGTGAGATTCTTTTAATAATCAATTGGTTATATTTGGTTCTTTAAATAAACGCTGATTGTATCAGAGTGCATGTGCAAACTTTTTATGTGGAGTTTGCTCATTTCTTATATTTTTTTTAAAATTTTAAAATTTGCTAGGGAGAATCATTTCAGTACTCATCTTGCAAATAAATGTTGTTCATTGAGTTCAAAATCATAGTGATTTGTCCAATGAATGCAAATCGTCATCACATGTTGCTTCTTTAATGCTTTAGGCAAGAGAGTTAGAAAACCTCATTATTTGGTTAAGCTTTTGCCCTTGCTACATCTGCACATTGACGAGTTAAAGACCAGACATGACATTCTTGCCTACCTAATTGATTAATGGGGAGTTTACCTAAATAGTACTAAAACATAGTGACTTTCCCAATGTAGTACCATATGTTTTTATTTCCCAATGTAGTACCATTGGTCATTGCCCACTTGTCATTGTTCATGTAAATGTTCACCGCCATTGGACATTATTCAAACTAAATGACCACCATCACTGGACATTGTTCCCGCCACTAGATATTATTCAAGTACTATTTATGGAATAAAAAAGTTTAAGTACTACATTAGGAAATGATACATGTTTTAGTACTATTTAATGCAAATTTCACTTGATTTAATTTTATGATGTCACATCCTTATTCTAAATTTAATAGTGTTACCTGTCGTTCTAATCTTCAGACCTTTATTTATCACACATTTTTGGTGTGTCGTATTTTTATCAGAACGGAAAACTTCTGCGAAGCATTAGGTCCCACACAGTTGCTGTTTCATGTCTTAGTTGGCAGGAGGAAGAACAAAAGGTTGGCACACTTCTTTTCTATTTATGAGCGACTCTTTCATAGGAAGTCCTAAATGATTTTTTTGATTAAGCATTTTCTACTTCACATTTTCTTTTCATTTTTCTATTCTTTATGCACAATTTGGAATACTTGTCTCCGTGCTTATTTTCTATTTCTTTGTTACTATATTAACCACGTCGTACTTAGAATGAGATGAGTAACATATCACAATATGAAGACCGCACTTCACGTTTCTTTCCACCACCACCAAGAGTACCTAGAATGCCTGGACTTGTACCAGGGGATAGTGGTTTCATGGATGAAGCTGAAGACTCATTCAGAGAGCTATCGAATTCTTCAAATCAACAATATAACATTTTATGCAGTGGGGACAAAGATGGAAACATTTGCTTCAGTATCTTTGGCATATTCCCAATTGGAAAAATGGTAAGTTAACCATCACAGTAAGGGAAACTAACTTTATGAAGTGTTGCAAGTTATCCTTTGTACTTTGCCAACATATGTTCATGGGTATTCATGTGGGAATACCATCTAACATATTTTGTGCTCCTTGTGTTTTTATATGGAATGTCACTCAAGAATCTACACAATAGCGTGCTTCCAAGAAGCCATGCGAATAACCAAATCCTAAATGCTTCTATTTGCAATGTAAGATAATAAGTTCTCTTTCATTGTTTATTTTTGCATTATACATATCTAATATTTTATGACAGTTGTAGACTTGTAGTTTTGTTTGTCTCTGTTGGGTGCAAGAAAATTTTCATTATCTTCGTAATTGGAGTTTTTTATTGTCTAGATTTGTGATTTATTTATGATTTTATGTTTTTATCTACAACAATAGAAACTAGTGAGAGGAGGCTCATAACAAAACAACTGCAAACAAAATTTAATTTTTTGGCAAATGAATGCAAGTTTCATGTAGTCCTCTCATCCTCTCAATCTTAATTTTGTTACGGTTAGTGGCATGAAATTTTTAATGTCAAACCATAGTCTTAAATCATGCCCCATTACAAGATTAATATTGTAAACTTAACATGCACATATGGAGCATGACTTTAACCTGCAATGCTTTGAAGTCTGTAAATTTTTCTGTCAACTTTAGCATTGCAAAAACCTACTTTAATATAATTAAAGGACGTGTTCTGCTTCAACTAAGAACTTATGATGACAGCTGAACTACACATTTCATTTTTACATAAATGTCTCAATATCTATATATACTCCCAATGATACAATTGTACATTCCCGACACATACTTCGTTAAACAAGAGTAATCAAAAGTTTCTTGATTTTTGACAGTTCTACAATTGAAATCCTATACTGTATTGCTCCTACAATATTCAATTAATTTATTGAAGGTAAGCACGTCTTGCAGAGTAATACGGTTTTTTTATTTCTCTCTTACCTACAGGTTTCTTTGTCGAAAGATCTTTGCCATTTGGTAGTCATGTGCAGTGGGGACCTCTCCACCTCTACTGTTGAAGCTGGGGAAAAACATTTATCTAGCTACATGTTAACTGGGTTCCATTGCCTAGTTCTTGACACTTCAATTTTCTGTAAAAGGTAACCCAGTCACAAAGCATTTGTTTGTCGTTGTTTGCTTGTTTCTGTCATTTCACTCTAATGAACTCTCCAGTCCATCAAATTATCTTTGCTTTACTGAACAATTAACTTTTTAAATCTAGGAGTTTAGTTCAATTTTTAAATCTTATGTGATTTTACTCATTGATATGCTTGCAATTGTAGCTTATTCCAAAATGAAAAATACGAAACTACTATTACTGATATGACTTTTGACTGCCGAAGTCATAACTTCTAAAGACTTACAATGCTTATATAGAGAAACAATGGGACGAAACCCAGTACCTAAACCCTAAACCCTAAACCTAATGAGAATAAAGAATCTTAACATCACTAAAACAAGATTACTTATTTCTATAGTTACTACTTTCTATACTTTAAAACTAAATTTCTTTTGCTTTACTATGGAAATGGATTTTAGGAAAAATGAGCTTAATCAAGTGGCTCATCAGGCTTCTAACATTGAAGATCTAGTTGAAGTTATCCGGACATCACTATCAGTCATGTCTAAGCAATGGTCTGATGCCATGCACACTTTTACTGGAAAGTTCAATGCCTTATCTTCCCTAATTATTGACCATGGTAATGTATCGATATCCAGGTCATACAACTTAAATGCCCTTTTTACTCTCTCACTCTTTTTTTTTTGTGCTACGTTTTTAAAGGGCTCGACTCTAGTCCTCAAGAGGAGCTTCTAAGCTTATTAGGTGGTGCCAGGACAAGTCCAGCAGTTCATCAATTTTTAGTTAACACACTTGGTGAAGCGGTAACCTTCACTTGCTTAGCACTTTGATAGATATGTGATTAATAGTTATCCACACTTCAACCTTGTTATAATTATCAGGGTCTTAAGAGGGTAGCAAAGGTGGTTAATGGTGCTGGAAAAGAGCTTCAGCTGGTAGTACGAGATCATCTACAGGTGCACCTATAACCTTCCTCTGACCTTACAGTTTTAATATACGCAGAATGAATATTCTTTAAGTTCTATTGTTGTACTTCTGCACTATAGCCTGTTTTGAATTTTGATAATAAAGCAATCCATAATTTGTAGTGTTTTTAATGCTAGGCATCTTTATTTCTTGCTCTGAAATCTGTGTTAGTGCTTTTGTTGCCATCCTATCAAATATATTGTTATGGACTGTATAAGATTTGTATAATAAGCAACCATGTTCTTTTTTAATGAGGTTAACAAAAAAGAAGATGTTCTCTTGGTGTAAATAAGGTTTGATCCGATTCTAGTTAAATTTAAAGATGTTTCTGATCTCATCTGACTCCAATAAGAATAAGTAATAAGAATAAATTGAAGAGAACAAGTCTTCTTGAATCTCCATTGAAATAAGAAAAGGAGGGTTTATTATCATTCACTCTTAACTTGCCCCCCCACCCCGCCCCCGCCCCCCAAAAAAAAAAACTGTAATCATCCAGAGTTGTTGAATAAGGAGTATGTCTAATAACTTACACATGCGTTAAGTTTTTCTACGTGTGTTGCATAGTTCAATAAATATTTCTAGTGGGGTAAAGGTATCATTTAATTCCAAAGCACTAGTTTCCAGCCTGCTGCAGAAATCATTGGGTTTAGAATTGGAGAACTTCAAGCCCTTTCCAAATGGCGTGCTCGATATCAAGGTATTGGTTTGGATGAGAAGTTATTGGATAATGCAACTGAAAATGCTGGAATGTTTCTAATGCAAGTTGAACGATTTATGAGGGTTTTGTGTACTGTGGCCCAGCAAGTATGGCTTTGTTTATAGTTCTCTACTTCTCTTCTTGTTTCACTTCAATGTTGTTATCATTCTGATTGTCTTTACGTCAGTTTTCAAATTTTTTCAGTTGGCTTCTGAAATCGGTGAAGATACTGATGTCAGAACAGAGTGATCAGCTCTATCCTTTCAGCAGGTTTAAAATCCAATATTGATATGCATTACTCACCTCTTAACCAGTTTTCTAGAAGATTGAAAATGTATGTTAAAAGTTCAAAATTTCTATATTTCTGTGTTGAGATCTTTTCTATTTTATTTTAGCAGTGAACTTGTCATTATGTTTCTCAAGTTTCTCTATGACCAAGATCCTTTAAAACAGTTGCTGGAATTGCCTGAAGGTGACCATGTCATAGAAGTAGATGTGTAAGTTTTGTTTTCAACCACTTTACTTGAACATAAGATAATGGTTTACTATATTTACCTCAAAACTTCATTTCTTCCACACAGTTCTTATTAATGTGCCCTGGTTGGTGAACATGCAGACATTTGTAGGGGGGGGGGGTCTACAATGCATCCATGCTATTCTTAAATTTATTTCCACATTGTTTTTTGTTAATCAGGGAAACAATGCAAAGAATTAAAGAACTGTCACATTTCGGAGGATTCTCAGACACTGCATTCTTGAGAAGGACATTAGCTGAAGAGTTTCAACAAATGGAGTGTTGGTACACACTCTTACCTCTCTATTGTCGTCTGAACATTCATATTGCTGTGTGGGTATCTTCTTGCATTTAGTCTTTTCCAAGAATCTATTAACTCAGTAACAGTAGTCTAAACAGATTTGTAGGTCACCCAAGAAATCGGCCTGCGTGCTTAAAAAACACGCCTTAGATATATGGTTAGATTTTTTCCCTCAGTAAATCTGCATTCTGAAGGATGATACACTATTATTACATCCCCTTATGATATGTAGAAATATGTATCACATATGCCATCCTAACACTTCTGTATTCTAATAAATAGGCTTCTTTTATCCATGTAATGGTAAGAAATTTTTTTATCAAATACACATTTTATTCTTGTTATTTAGAGTACCATATAATTTTTCAAATGTTAAAAGTGCGCTGAACTTACTGGAATCTTTTTCCTTTAAGGTCAGTTTGGATAATGGGGTTTGGAGGGGATGGGTTTGAATGGGCAAGCCTATATTTTGACATATACTCTGGGTATTTGAGAGTATAAAAATTGAAGGTACATAAGAAATAAGAGGTGATCATATAACATTTCAATATCTCTATATTCATTGTTAGAAACATTCTACGCACTCCTTCCTAATAAAAGAAACATGCTTCTAGAGGTTACAAGTTATTATTTATTAATACATCATCAAGTCAAGGAAGGTACGCCATTTAAGTCACAAGTTCACATTTTTAAGTCAAGATACTAGAGGGTGCAACTTTTAATTCACCGTCAACTCAAAGCACGGAAGGGACACCGTTTTTAAGGCATGAGTTCACATCTTTGCCTCTCCTCCCAACCCAATTTTCCAGCTGATGGACCTGTGCAACAAAAATGTTTCTTTCTACTGGCATTGTCTCAAACTCTAAGTAGAGGCGTAGTGTTTCAAGTCTTCTTTTGGTAGTGAGTGCATTATTGAAAGTTCACTTAAAAATGAAAATTGAATTTTGAAACAAGATTCTTTTTGTGGACAATTCTTCTTTCTAAAAGAAAAATGTGATTCTTTCATTTTAAATTGATCTATTCTTTTAAACCCTCCAACATACTGCCCCCTCCCTTAAAGATCCTCCGTCACCTTCTGTGTGTTTCTGTGCCGGTCCAATAGTTTGTGGTGTAATTTCATGATATACAATTGGCAGTTTCCGGGATGCTTTTCAGATGCCGTTTGCTACTATTTCCAAGAGAATACAATGTAAGGATCTGCTCCCTCTTTTTCCCATGGCTGCAACAAAACTTGATTCTCCCGTTATCCCGGCATCTATATCATACTACAAGGTACTTCCTGTGTATATTTTACCTTAAGAGCCAGTCTGGTAGGGCTGAAATTATTGAAGTGGCCTCATTTGAATTTCTCTGAAATGAATGAAATAAATTATTTGATGAATTAAAGAAATATGTTTAATGTTTGGTGAAAAGCTGGGCAATAATGTTGATCAGCTAAATGAAGCCAACCAAACGGGCTATTATATGTTTGTAGACCTCATGAAGTTCACCTCTTTGGTTGTGATTTAGGCTGTTTTCTGGATTTCATCTGGCAGCCATAATCTGTTCTTCTATTGCTGCAGGACTTACATGAGGTTTCTGGTTATGAAACAAGTCGACAGAGTCTTATTGACTACATTTCCTTCAGAGTGCCCGATATTTCCAACCCAAATATGTCAAATTGCATTGGCATAATTAGGGGGGCCATACATGATATGGGCAATTCAGATCATGGGCAAGCTTCATTAGAAGCTTCCCTCCTATGCATTCCCAATGGCTACCACTGTGTTGATTTATCATTATATAAGGTAAAAAAATACTTTTTTTTACCAATCATCTTGTGAGCATTGAATTTGAAGCTACTGGTCTTCAATTTATGAATGCAACATAACATTTCACCATTTAAAACAGGATGCCCAACTTATTTTACTGCTAGACCAAATTACCACTGGTTCTGAGGGATCTGGAAATGCGTCTATGATGCTTCTCCAAGCTGGAGACCTCCCATTTATATCTATTTCAAGATCTTTAAGCCTGGACTCATGGATCGTTCTTGAAATTAAGGTAAAATAAAATGTAAATGTAAATGTCTTGAAAAATATACTCAATTCATATTCCATTTTAAATAAAAACATAGGATCAAAGAGTATTAATAAAATAAAATGTAAATTAATTTCGGTTCACTTTTCTGCAGGATCAACTCATGCAACTGGAACTGGGAAGTGAGAAGGTTCGGGGTATACCTCACTCTGTCATACAGCCGTTTGCAGTAAGCGGTGAGTGATATTATGTTGATTATTTTTTTCAAGGTTTGAACTTTGAAGTATGTACTTATGATAAAGATGTTTTTGTTTTTGTTTGAATTGCTCATTCGTGTTTCTTTAACAGCTTCAAGAGGGGTGGCTTGTGTTTTTTCTGCAAGAAAGCGTGCTTTGGTTTACATCCTGGATGAAGATGAAGAGGACGACGACGAAGATGATGCAGAATGAAGACACCATATTGTGTTTTCATGTAAAATTGCTGTACATTTTTCCTCTTAGTATAATACGGAGTATGTAATTGTGTAAAAGCCAAGCAGTTAGACAATGATATTTGGGTACAATCCACTGTAAATTGAAAGAGTCAAAAGTATATTTATTGGCATATATTTAGTGTGAACTCAAATTTTCAGCAATTGTAGCTGTGGTAAAATTTCAGTTTTACCTATAGCTTCATCACTTCTACCATCATTATAGATATCGGAGTATTTCTTAAATTTATTTTTTGAAAAATGTCTTATACTCTGGCAAAAATCTTCATTTTTTTCTTTTTCATTTGTTTTAAAAAGAATTCTATTCCTTTACACTATGTTTGGTTCAAGGAATTTAGAAAGAAAAGAAAAGAAAATGATTTTCTCTCATTTTCCTTACCAAAATGCAAGAAATTTGACTTTCCTCTTAATATATTTTGTCTTCTCATTTCTTTTTCCTTCCACTTTTCTTTTCTTTTCCTCTCTATCCAAACAAGAAAAACTATTTTCTATCTTATTTTTTTTTTCTTTTACATTTCAAATTCCTTGAACCAAACATAGTGTTAAAGGAAATGATAATGTTGTTAAAAAAAGTTCTCATCTCAATAAATTTTGGCTACTTCTTATTTGTTTCACTTTTTAATAGGGGTATTCATTTTTTTTAAATTTCATCAAAGACAAACATAGACATTTTTTTTTTGAGATGGATGTAATATACACAACATTTTTGACATAATATATACAATCTCAGTGAATCAAAATCACTCGAGGGTAAATTTAAGGAAGCTTGTGTGAGAATGCTTTATTTATTTTTCCATCCAAAAGGGAAAAGACTTGATGATACAAAAACTAGCTAATTTCATTTCCTAAAAAAAAGGAGAAAATGCAAGCATTACACATTCACTATTACAACAATACTCCAATTTCTGAGCCAACAACACGCACCAGAAGAAAAATTTTGGAGAGCCATAGAGAGTCATATTCTGCTGAGAAAAAGCTCATTTGGAACAGCATATATGACTGACTACGGCTTCTTTGGAAATGACATTTTCAGTTAGCGTTTTGGATAAGATTCTAATGGTAGAGATTAACTTTGAAAAATAGCTTTTTCAAAACGCTGAAGCTTTTGCCAAACAAGCACTACAAGTCATCATCATCATCCAATTCAATAATCTGTGCTCTCCTCCTCTCAGCAGCTTTCTTCCTGATGAAGATGCCCCATCTCAGTGCTGCTTTCAGCTTCAGCCACCCCACAACAGCTTTTCCCGAAGAAGACGAAGACGAAGAAGATGAAGAAGAACGTGGCCTCCGGTACTCTTCCCCATACCCAAATGTCAATGATGGCATCACATTGGGCAATGGTGACATCATCGTCCCCGTGAACTCCGATGGCAATGCATATGGGTCGTTGGGGTTTCTGTAACACCCTTCTTCGCTGACATCACTGTCGTGATTATTAATCTTATTATTATTAAAAGCATGACTGTAGTGGCCCCCACCCATGCTGAAAACGCGGAGAAGGTGCTGCATTTCTTCATTCTCAAGCATCTCATGACTCCTCAGCCGTATTTCTTCCTCTGTCAGGAAATTATTATTATTGTCACAAGCAAAGTTTGATGTGGCTGCAGGAGTTTGAAAGCTCTGAGACGTCTGGGGAAATCTACTAACAGCCACCACAGTCTGTCTTGATGTGCCAACTGACTGATTCTCAAATGGATCATTTATGTGATTCATGTTGTGATGAGACTGCGTCGCAAATTTCCAACTCGAACTGTCATTGTACCCTGATGAAAGATGAAATAAAAAGGTTCACATTAACCAAAATTAAAAGCCACCCTCGTTGGTAGAGTTTATAACTTTGTCTGAAGCTCCAAATAAACTATTAGTCCTGTTTGATACATAGAATAAGAGCTTACAAATAAGCTATTATTAACCTTTCAGTAATAAGTGTGTAGCTGTTTTTTTCATGAATAACATTTTACAGAAATAACAACATTTGTTCTCTGTAATAAACGCAAGCCATGTTTGTTTTACATTAATAAGCTGCTCAACAACGAATTTCACAAAAGACTTCTCTAAGTGGTTTAAGCTCCTTACTGCTAACTTAGAGCTTTTAGCTAGCTTTTTATCTCCACATCCAAAACAGATCCTTGGTGTGTGTTTAGTATAGCTTATTTTTGGAGCTTATAACTTACTTTAAGCTCTATATAGAATAAGATATTGAAATAAGTTGTTATTTGAAATGGTATTAGTTTTAAGGCCTTGAAAAACAAGCTCCTACTTTTAAATTTGTTTCTACTACTAACCTAATTCTTTTCTCAAAATAACCTACTTAATCCATAAACCAAATTCTATACACCTTATGTCTTTTGAGCTAATCATGCCAAACAAACCCTTAGTTGCCACAAAGTCACCCAAAAATAAAGCAGACATTTCGCTGCAAAGCAAGCAAGTTTTAACTGAACATCTTTTTACCTCCCATGTGTGGTGGTCCTGTGGCTGCACGAAGCTGCTTTGAAGGAATTGTTGAAGATGGGAGAGTTGGTAGGTTTTGGTGATTAGGGAAAGAGTATGAATGGTTCTGTGAGGCAAGTATGGGACCATTTGGAATAGATACTGAATTCTTATTGTCATTGAGGATTAACAGTGATTTGCCATCATATTCAATCACATGCATCCAGTTATCATATGCCTTCTTCACTAAGCCATCCACATACACCTGCAAAAAAAAGGCGATCCCGTCCTCTTAAGAAACCTGGGTTGCGATGCTAATCCTTTCAGGGTATAATCAGAAAAAAGGATCTAAGAAAAATAGTGTTTATGTTTGGTTTTGCCTGAAAATATGAAGGAATATTGGATTTGATCAAAAAACATGTTTACTTTTGAATGTATTTGGATTTCTCAGTCTTAAATAGTAGAAGTATGCTACATAAATACAAATGAGGTGGTGGAAGATGGAAGACATATGATGCAAATATATCAGAATGAGAAGGTTGCATGCACTCAAAGTTTGAAGCTAACCTTTTGGCTTTCAGAAAGAGAATCAATGGAACGATAGTTTCCGCCAGCAATCAATCCGCACAGTTCATATACATTGTTAAAAACAACCCCAACATTCCTCGTGTCATCGGCATAGTACACATAGAGTTTACCACTTAGAACACATGTCTTTGCATGCTCCACAAGAGTATCCCACATCTTATTTGACATTCCACTTCCAAGAATCTATGTTAATAATAATAGCAAAGTAAAAATCAAGCAAATTTAATTTTTCTCAACAGAAGAAAAATAGTTGAGTATTATTATTTTTATAATACTTACACTTCTAAGCCTCCCCGTGTCTCTAACAACAAGCCGTAGAAAGTCTTCCACCGTATATATTCCAGATTTGTTTAGCCTCTTGTGAAAAGATCCGTCCTTTCCTATCTTTTCCAACCTCCAAACTTCGTCATTCAATGATGGTGGATAATGTTTCTTGTACACTGCACATGATGAAAAATTGCCCATTATTAGTTTATAACATTAATAATATAATAGCTCAGTTTTACTTACAAAGGTGGAATACACACATTCTCCTCTGTGATCTTTGACAGTAAAGGCTTCTGTTTTAGCCTCCCGAATCCGACTTTTCTCACAATAATCCCCCGAATGTGCAACCTTCACACCTAATCTAAACTTTCTGCTTCTAATCCAGCTAGAATTGTCAGTAAAGGTCAATTCACCAAGGGTGCCTACCCCTTCTTTTAAGGTCACTTGCAGGTCCCCTGTTAGAAGCGGCCTCTTCCCTTCACGCTCTTTCACTATATGAGACTCAAATTCTTCTTGACTCCACCCTTCCTCATCTTCGTTGTCGAAATCTCCTTCAAGTACTATGATGTCCAGTTTGACTGAGGATTCTGGACCTGATGTCACAACACGTCCGGTTTTTCCATCAAGCAAAACAACATGAATGGCTGATCCTTGTTCTCCCTCTATCTTTCCTCCTGTAAAGAGAGGTAAGGATAGTTTAGACCTGAACTGGAGTTGTAAGCTTCTACCATCCGGTCCTTCTATTCTTTCAGGAGAAACCCTGTTCCATAAACATAAGAACTCAGTACCCGGCACCCTAAGTTGGAATAATAGAAAACTCCTCTAAAAAAGAGTCAGATTTCAAGCAATTTTTTTTCATCCCACAAAAAGTGTTTTTAATGAAACAAAGTTAGTTTTTCTTGTGGTTCGTGATAATTCATCCCAAGCTGCATATAATCAATTTAGTTAACCCTAAAAAGGCTGTACATTGTTCAACATGACTCTTTTTTGTGATTTCAAGAGCACTATAACTAGTAGATCGAGTTCAAGACAACAATGTATTATGTAAAACACTGAAGTGAAATCACCACCTTATAAGATTCAACACGCGCAAAGAAAATCTGTGCCTCAAAATAGTATTTGCATTGAAGCATACCTTGAGTTATGTTTGGCAGGGCACAACTTAGCCAAAGCGCGCTCCACTTCTTCACTTACCTGATACATAGAAGTAACACATAGTGAATTATTTAGCTCAACAAGAAATCTCATATTCCTTTTCTTACATACCCATAGCATAATGTAACATTACATTCAACAACAATCGACCCAGTGGTATAATGTAAGCAAAACTAACATTTGTGAGCAAAAATGATCTGATTTGGACAAGGCCAAGAATCTTACAACTCTCCGAAGAATTGGCTCCAATGATGAACAAAGCTTTTGCATACTGTCAACCTTCAAGGCTTCAACAATCACACTGCACTAAGCACCCAATTTTCAATAACAAACGAAAGCTAAACTCACTTCAAATTCCCTAATGAGACACAAGATTCATTACGTCAAAGCGCACTCAACAATTCGATCGTGGCAAGATGCAGTCATACTTCGCATTTAACAAAATCAAGCAATACACCCTACATAAACATCTCTACGAAATTTTCTTTTGCATACTAGCATACACATATGTCTGCAGATAATTAAGGAGCCAAGTGCACATCACAGTCCGCTACTTCATCCAGCAATTCAATAAGATGAGAGAAACCCAATTCAAGAAACGCAGAAATTCAACCATAAGAGGGAAAAAGATTTGATCTTTATCATTTAGGAATCCAGCAATTCAATAAGATGAGAGAAACCCAATTCAAGAAACACAGAAATTCAACCATAAGAGGGAAAAAGATTTGATCTTTATGATTTAGGAATACACATTGACATGTACAGAAGAAGGGTAGAGTGGTAATTTAAAAAATCACCTGGCCAGAGCAGGGCGTTTTTGAGGAGGCTGAGCTTCTTCAGTGCAACTGGGATTGAGTGGCCGTTTCTCCCGGGCCATGCTACCAGATCTTTCCATGTACCGTGTCTGCATTTTCCCAGACAAACTAACACTCACCCAATTCCAAACCTCGTCTTCAAGCTCGAGATCTGAATCTGGAGCTCGTGTGCTTTGATTAATGGCAGTATATAAACTGAAAGGAACCGGCAGTTGGAAGGAAATAAATAATCTAAATTCATGGAGGGATGAAGGATTCTTAACGGATAAAGGATTGAGGGAGCGAAAGGGAAAAGGGAAGAAAGCGGGAAAGAAATCTGAAAGAACAGAGAAAGGCGGTGGTGCTTTCCGAGAAACATCATCTGCAGCATCTTCGGGCTTTCTTTGTGTCTCCCCTCTGCTTCAATTGTAGAGTACTATTTTAACCACCTTGATAACGGTGAGTATAAGATTAACTATGAAAGGACATAAGTAACCCCCACTTTAGGGAGAGTGAATTTCTTACAAGGACCATGCTACACTTACACCAAAAAATATACCCCATTTGTACATCACAGGTTTGCACAAACATTTCGATGGTTTACACCGACACAAGTGTTGGTGCGTTAATAAAAATTCACACGGACACAAATGTTGGTGCGTTTAACAAAAATTAGTTTTACACCAACACAAAATGTTGGTGCAAAACTGCGGGGTACAAATCTTGGGGTACACATAGCATAATCCTTTTTGCTTTTGTACGCCAAACTCAAAATTGTCAAAATTCACATTAATCTCTAAAAGATTTAAGATTATCACAGTTTAGTTTTTTGATTAAGTTGTGACACGGTTGATCATGAATTAAATATAGTTTAAAGTGATTTAGTATTACTCCGGTATAAAGTTTTGATATTTAAAACTATATTAAAAATTAAATCCAATTTTTACTAGATTTAAATTATACAGAGCTATTAAATATATATTAAATTAAACTGTGACAATCTTTTAGAAATAGAGAAATTATTATTTTGAAAGAATCAAACATACTCCAAAAATACTCTACTTTTCTTTTAAAAAAAACTTAATCAAAAAACTAAACTGTGATAATCTTAAATCTTTTAGAGATTAATGGGAATTTTGACAATTTTGAGTTTGGCGTACAAAAGCAAAAAGGATTATGCTATGTGTACCCAAGATTTGTACCCCAATTTGTACCCCGCAGTTTTGCACCAACATTTTGTGTTGGTGTAAAACTAATTTTTGTTAAACGCACCAACATTTGTGTCCGTGTGAATTTTTATTAACGCACCAACACTTGTGTCGGTGTAAACCATCGAAATGTTTGTGCAAACCTGTGGTGTACAAATGGGGTATATTTTTTGGGTAAGTGTAGCATGGTCCAAGCGAAAATCCAACTAAGAAAAGGTGGAATCTTTGATTTGTCCAACGGCCACTCCAAAGGGAAACAGTCAATGACCGGAACAGTGTTCAACCGGTTGCTGGGGTCCACAACATCATGGCGCGTTAACAATCCGCCGGTCATCTGAGACACCGGGCACTCCAAGGCAGAGCCAAAGCTCCAGACGATCTCAGTTGTGTGAAACCCGGTTTGGATCAAATGGACCACGGGGAGACGGTTCTCTCCGACCGGGTCAGAATCGACGGCACCGTAACTCAGGTGACGCTAACGACTGGTGGCCAGCTCCGGTGGACCGGCCGCTGTCTGGTTATAAAGAAAGAGGTCCTCGGCTTCTCCGTTGAAGGATCAGAGATCAAAATAAGGGCTATTGTGGAAAAAGGAGCTGGAATCTGCTGCGGCGGCGGCTACACATCGCCTCTTCTCAAGAATTCATAGATTCTCTGGGTAAAGAATCTAAAGATCAAAACTTTTTTTTGTTTTTTTTCATTTAAATGCTAGTTATGGTAGTATCCAAATTAATCTGTATTTATTCTTGGTTACTTTCTTTAATTCCTCGCCGTGTTCTTTATTTATCTCATTTCAATCTGTTTTTTTTCATAATTGGGATTTGTGTGCTAATCAGGCAGGCCTAAAAGGCTCTTTATAATTGTGAATCCATATGGAGGAAAGAAACCTGCCTCTAAGATTTTTCATGATGAGGTAAAACCACTCCTTGAGGATGCAAATATTGAATATGCAGTGCAAGGTTCGAAGAACTAGACTTTCACAATTATACCTTATGAATTCTTATCCGGGCATAACCCTTTTTTTATAATTATTTTACGGTGGAGTATATTTAAATGGTTTGTATTCAGAAACAAAATATCAACTCCATGCCAAAGAAGTTGTCCATAGCTTGGATCTTTCAGAGTATGATGGAGTTGTTTGTGTTAGCGGAGATGGAATTCTGGTTGAGGTTGGTTTGTTATTCCATAATCATTTCATACTGGCACATGAGAACCATAGCATTCATAGGCGCCGATGGCTCAACGGGATTCAAATTTTTGGATTGCCACCCACCAGTGACTGCTGCAATGATCTTCATGTTCCTTCATGCCTTTTATTTTGTTGTTGAAAATTTTAGTAGGTAGTTAATGGACTGCTTGAAAGGGAGGACTGGAAAACTGCAATTAAGATATCCCTTGGAGTAATACCTGCAGGTCTTTTGCTTTTGTTCTTTATCTCCATCTTTCTTGTTCGTGTTGCTTACATTTTTACCAGTATATATCTATAACTGAAGAAGGGATCATTGCACACAGGATCTGGAAATGGGATGGCCAAATCTCTTCTAGATTCAGTAGGAGAGCCTGCGAGGTACTAGGAATTTGCGTGGTCTTTCTCTTCCATTTTTGGTGAAACGTAAACGAAAACAAAAGTTGTATTTATGTTGAGAGGCTTTCCACAGGCCACACGAGAGCACTTGATGTAGCTACCATTTCACAGGGGCGGACCAAGTGTTTTAGTGTATTGTTGCTTGCTTGGGGTATATATTACTATCAACTACTTTCTTAGCCTGTTTCTTATTTGATTCAGCCCAAAAGCTGTTATAGTTCTGAGCTGTAAAAAAACTAAAAACTCGATCTTTTTTCTCCAGGACTTATAGCTGACATTGACATTGAGTCTGAGTACAGGTGGATGGGCAGTGCTCGATTTGAATTTTATGCATGCAAGTTTTTTTTTTCAAAAACTTCATTTATATTTTTTTCGTTAGCTTAAAAAAATTCAATAAAAGAAGAAGGAGAAGAACTAAGGAACTAAAACGGTGCCCTAGATTTTCATTAGCATGTTGTTTTTTTATCCAGGGTCTTAAACGGATAGCCAGTCTTAGAAGGTATAATGGGTGTATAAGGTTTGTGGCTGCACCCGGTCATGAAGTTCACGGGGAGCCCATCAAGCCACCCGATGTTTATTCGAGTGATGCCCCAAAATGTGGCTATTGTGGGCCCAATGTCGATCCACAACATAATTCAAACTGGAGGAAGATTGATGGTCCTTTTTATCGGTTTGGCTCCACAATGTACCCTGGGGTGCCGAACGTACTATGGCTGCACCTAATGCCAATGTAGGTTCTAATATGCACCGTTTCCATTAATGTCATCCAAATTATACCTCCAAATTTCATGAGCTGTCTGATCTTTCCAATTTCGTATGCAGTTTTCAGACGGCTGTTTGGACTTGGTTCTGATTAAGGATTGCCCGAAGCTAGCGCTGCTATCGTTGTTGTCTGAATTAAACAATGGAGGCCATGTCAAATCCCCACACGTGTTGTACATCAAGGTACAAGTCACTCCCTCTACCCCGCAAAAAAAAAAAAAAAAAGAATCATGTTTTCAACACTGCCAAAAAAGAGTCGCATTTGAAACCAAATGTTATTGTATAGGTGAAGGCATTTGTTTTGGAGCCCGGTTCAATAGCGGAGGATCCATCCAAGGAAGGGATCATGGACGTGGACGGTGAGGTTATTGCTAGAGGTAGAAGAACATACAAATGGGAGGGGAAAACCTTAATGGCTTATGACAGGCTTCATATTGGTGTAGACCAAGGGCTGGCTACTATCTTTTCTCCTATTTAGGGTCCTTTTTTTTGTTAGTGGGTTTTATTTTATTTCCCTTCAAAAATGTGTGTTTTGAACTTATGTGAATCATCCCTCTTATACCCAAAAAGAATGCATACAAATGGATATCATAGTCTACTATGCAAAAACCTTACTTGAATAGGATGTGAAGGACTATAATCCAAAGAATTATGAGACAATATTTGAGTAGTAAATCATTCTCCCTCCCCACTTGAAATAATTTTCTCATTTTGGATCATGATGTTCTATTGAAGTTATTTTGAATTTATTTTATTGGAACATCGATATATAATTTAAAAAAATAAAAATTACATATTTAAAAAATATATTGAAAATTTTACAAAACAAATGGTAACTTAGGTAAATGTCTAACAAAAGACCATTTGGTATGAGGTGCGGAGGGAAGCGTTATCCTCCGGGCATTCCTCCCCATCACGCTTAAAATGTCGCACTGCCTTCCTCGTGATGAGGGCGTGATTCAAGGGGGTGATTGCCATCAGGACCCTCCTTTTTTTTTTAATTTGTTTAACCTCGAATTAAACAAAAATTACTTCCATCTCAACAAATCAAAATAATTCACAAATTTTCATCCCACCAACCTCTTTCACATCCATCATATCACATATTTTTATTTTTCTATATCATATCTATTTACACCTCATCAAACCCCGTCAAACCTAGACATAATTCATGACCTAACATAGAATAACTTTTCGTTGGATGATAAGAAAAGTGAAAGAAAAAATATGCAAAATGAGAAAACACATATTATGAAATATTTTCTATTCTTTATTTGGTGAGAAAATGAGAGAAAAGAGAAAATTATAATAAAAAAATTGTCTCCAACATAGGTTAGAAAATAACATCATCCTCTTCACCATAAATTTCTTATCTTTTCACTTTTACTTTGGGAGAAAGACCAAAATAGGACTAAAACATTGAAAATATACTAAAATAGGACTTCCATGTTTTTATTCCCGAAATAGGACTTATATTAGCAAACATGGTCATATACATTATCAAAAAAGTATAGTAATTTGCACATGTACACTGCCACATTACCACAATGCAAAGTCACATTACCACAGTGCAAAGTCCTATTCCGAGAAAAAAACATGAAAGTCCTATTTTGGTACTTTTCTCTATGTTTTAGTCCTATTTAGGATGATTTCTATTTTACTTTGGTTTTTTTTTCTCTCTGTTTTCTTATCATTTTCTATCAATCAAAATACTACTCCCTCCGTCCTAAAACTTTCTTCTCACTTCCCCTTTTTCTCCGGCCTAAAACTACCTTCCCATTAGAAAAAAAAGATGACAAATGACATTAATACCCTCATGTATTTACACCAATTATCTTCTAACTCTATATTTTGAATGATTGCAAAAAAAAATTCAAAAAATCTTTTTTAAGGAGGGTAAAATTTGAAGTCAAAGCCAAAAATTAAAAATGGAGAAAAGTCAAACTGGGAAGAAAGAATTAGGATGGTCTCTCAATTTCCGTTCTTCTTTTTTTATTATCATTTTCTTTCCTCTCATCCAAACAAACCATAAATGAAAATATTAAAAAAGGAGGGAGGATTTTTCATTGGTCCAACCGTCACTCCAACTTCGAATAGTCAACGACTGAAACCGTGTTCTCTTTTACGCCATCCGTCCCTAAATATTCACAATATTTGTTTTTTCGGCGGTCGCGGAAACTTTTGTTTATTTTGACGTTTTCATTGGTTATTTGATAAAATAAAATATTCTTGACACCTCTTATTTCGAAGAACTTTTCATGTAGTTTTCTGATTAGAAATCATCCTAAATAGGATTAAAATATAGAGAAAAGTACCAAAATCGGACTTTCATATTTTTTTTCCCGGAATAGGACTTTGCACTGTGGTAATGTGACTTTGCATTGTGGTAATGTGACAGTGTACATGTGCAAATTGCTATACTTTTTTGGTAATGTATATGACCATGTTTGGTAATGTAGTCCTATTTTCGGGAATAAAAACATGGAAGTCCTATTTTGATATATTTTCAATGTTTTGGTCTTATTTTAGTCTTTCTCTCTTTTCTGATATGTAGTTTTTATTTTTTATTTCTTTACCAATATGTAAATAAAATGAATTGAAAAAACTTGATATTTTGCCTCGGTGATAGAAATGTGACAAATAAGTGAAACCCTAAACTCGAAACGATCTCAGTTGTGTGTGAAACCCGGTTTGTCAAATGGACCACGGGGAGATGGTTCTCTCCGGCCAGGTCACGATCGACGGCGCCGTAACTCAGGTGACGCTAACGACCGGCGGCCAGCTCCAGTGGCCCGGCCGCTGTCTGGTTATAAAGAAGGAGGTCCTCGGCTTCTCCGTTGAAGGATCACAGATCAAAATAAGGGCTATTGTGGAAAGAGGAGCTGGAATCTGCTGCGGCGGCTACCAGTCGCCTCTTCTCAGGAAAACATTCACTTTCGATTTCCAGTCCATTTCTGAGGAATCTCTCAGGCTTTGGAGCCATAAACTCCAAGAATTTTTAGATTCTCTCGGTAAAGATCAGAACTTTTTTTTTTAAATTGTTAGTCATGGCAGCACACAGTTTGTTCACTTTTCAAAATCATAGTATGTATTTATTGTTGCTTACCTTCTTTGATTCTTAGCCATGTTTCTTTATCATAATTGGGATGCGTGTGATAATCAGGCCGGCCAAAAAGATTGTTTGTATTTGTGAATCCGTATGGAGGAAAGAAATCTGCCTCTAAGATTTTTCATGATGAGGTAAAACCATTCCTTGAGGATGCAAATATTGAATATGAAGTGCAAGGTTTGATGAACTAGACTTTCACAATTATTACATCTCCAAATGTTTTATGTTCTTCTGATATATACTTTAATCGTTTAAATTCAGAAACAAAATATCAACTCCATGCCAAAGAAGTTGTTCATAGCTTGGATCTTTCAAAGTATGATGGAATTGTTTGTGTTAGCGGAGATGGAATTCTGGTTGAGGTTGGTATGTTATTCCATAATTATTTCATACTGACACACGAGAAACGTAGCAGTCATTGGCGGGGCAAGGGTTCCATTGAATTCAAATTTTGGGATTGGCACTGGTTACTGCTGCAGTGATCTTCATGTTCCTTCATGCTTTTTTTGAAATTTTTAGTAGGTAGTTAATGGACTGCTTGAAAGGGAGGACTGGGAGACTGCAATTAAGACATCCCTTGGAGTTATACCTGCAGGTCTTTTGCTTTTGTTCTTTATTTCCATCTTTCGCATTCGTGTTACATAAATATTTTTTCCCCAAAAGCTAGTTATGGAAGATAATATTAGCTCTTTGACGAGTATTAACTTTTATTCTCAAATTGTCTACCGATTACCTAATTTTCTTGCATAATTTCCATACTTATGGGGTACTATTTTTTTTCGTGATGTTTCTTTTACGTGGCGGTGTTCTTGATAATAACGTCACAGTTTTCAACCAGTTTTTGCCAGTATATGTCTATAACTGAAGAAGTAATCATTGCACACAGGCACTGGAAATGGCATGGCCAAATCTCTTCTGGATTCAGTTGGAGAGCCTTGTACTGCTTCTAATGCAACTCTTTCTATTATTCGAGGTACGAGGGATTTGTGTGATCTTTCTCTTCCATTTTCTGAACTTATTTTCCCCTCTTCACTTTGTTGAAATGCCAACTAATTTTTTACTTGTTTTGCCTCAGGCCACAAAAGACTGCTAGATGTAGCTACCATTTCACAGGGGCAGACCAAGTTTTTCAGTGTATTGATGCTTGCTTGGGGTATCTATTGCTATCAACTATCTTCTTAGCCTGTTCTTTCTTTGATCTGTCCAAAAGCTGTGATTATTCTGACCTATTAAAAATAGCTAAAAATACTTTAGTTAAAGAAAATAAAAATTTGATTTCTTTTCCAGGACTTATAGCTGACATTGACATTGAGTCTGAGAAATACAGGTGGATGGGCAGTGCTCGAATCGATTTTTATGTATGTATTTCTTTAATATTCCATTTAAAGTGATACAAAATATATCATATTTGTGGTCCTCTTCCTGTTAGTTTGAAAAAAATCAATATACCCTGTAAAAGACCATCTTCATCACTATCCCCTTACTCCCAACATTTCATAAAGAATTGACATTTGATACTGTTGGATACAGGCTCTTCAACGGATAGTCTTTCTTAGAAGGTATAATGGCTGTATAAGGTTTCTGGCTGCACCTGGTTATGAAGTTCACGGGGAGCCCATCAAGCTACCGGATGTTTGTTCGGGTGATGGCCCTAAAAGTGGGTATTGTGGGCCAACTGTCTATCCACATAATTCAAACTGGAGGAAGATTGATGGACCTTTCATCTCTGTTTGGCTCCACAATGTACCCTGGGGTGCCGAACATACAATGGCTGCCCCTGATGCCCATGTAGGTTTTAGTTTGTACCATTTCCATTCAAGTCATGCATACCATTTGTACCTCCAAATTTCTGTTCTTTGATCTTTCCAATTTCGTATGCAGTTTTCAGACGGCTATTTAGACTTGGTGTTGATTAAGGATTGCCCGAAGCTAGCGCTGCTATCATTGTTGTCTGAATTAAACAATGGAGGCCATGTTAAATCCCCACACGTGTTGTACATCAAGGTACAAGTTCCTCCCTCTACTCCGATAAAACAAAAAAAAAATCATATTTTGAACGTTGTTCTTGTGCCAGAAAAGAGTCCCGTTTGATCAAATGAAGTAATCTTTTTTCAAGAATAGGTTAAGGCATTTGTTTTGGAACCCGGTTCAGTAGTGGACGATCCATCCAAGGGCGGGATCATCGACGTGGATGGTGAGGTTCTTGCTAGAGGTCGAAGAACATACAAGTGTGAGAAGAAAACCTTAATGGCTTATGACAGGCTTCATATTGGTGTAGACCAAGGGTTGGCTTCTATTTTCTCTCCTATTTAGGATCCTTTTTTGTGGTTAGTGGGTTTTCATTATTTTCCTCCAAAACTATTAAAAACCTTACTTGAATACAATGAATGTGAATTACACTTTGTATATACAAGTTTATATTTCAATCCTTCTAGTTTTTTCCAGTTCTTTCCGGTTTCTTCTATTTCTTTCCAGTTTCTTCCAATTCTTTCTAGTTCCTTCCAATTTTTTCTAGTTTTTTCCAACATCCAAGTCTTTTTTTCCAGTTTTGGTGTATAAATTATACTCCCTTCGTCCCGTAAAGTGTTACCCATTTTGACTAAAGTAGAAATTAAGGGAGGAATAATTTTGTGTTTACTTTCCAAAAATATCCTTAATGTGATGGGTAAAAGTAGGATGTGATGTGTAGATTATTAGGAAAAAGGTATGATGTGATAGGTAGGGTTTGAAAAAGTAAGGGTAAAAGTGGTTTTTTAATAAAAATGGGTAGGAGATTGTGGGACACAATTTTTTTGAAAGGTTTAAATCTTTTTGGGACGGAGGGAGTATAATTTATACACCAAAACTTTTACATGTTCTCATACTTGGCATTAATAATTTATCCTCTCTCTCTCCCTCTCTCTCTCAAGATTCTACTTTTAGAAGTTTGAGTTTGACCATCGTAGAGACGAGATGAAGGGTTTTCCATTAGTGAATCTTCAGTCCTCAGTATAAGCTCTTTGGTTAGATTGATTGTGAAACGGAGGATCTGAGGCAAATATATTAGGAACTTGATGTTGAGTAATAGTTCACCAGTGAAATCAATCAGAAGCACATCAATGGGCATGAAGAGCTGATTAATTAGTATGTGATGACTCAATATGCAGTAATGCACAAACTATTTTAAGATTAGTCCGACGCAAGTTGAAAAATCTAATGTTCTAAAAGAAAGGAAGTCACATATTAAAGAGAAGTCACATTATGTAGTTGATATATATTCAATAATGAATATTATCTCCATCCTTAAAAAATGAATATTATTTCATTCCGCAAAGAAATTTGCACTTTGACTTAAAATGTAGGTTGGAAATGTTGAGAAGTAAAAAATGTTACATACTTAAAGATGAGAGAATTGCAAAATTTGGAACGCTCGAAAAATGAAAAAAGTATAAACTTCATTGCATGAGGAATGAATGTCTAAAATATGAAAATATAGATGAATAGAAGTGAATCATTGAAAATTTTATCCTAAGTTGTACATGGGAAATGGGGAAAGAGTCATATGATCAAAAAAAATTGCTCAACGAATCAAACATTCTCTCTCTAGAAGCTTATTATTCCCCTTCCAACGACACTACCCCTTCACTTTCCCCTACAATCTCTAAGCATTCTCTCTTCCCACATAGACTATTCCCTTCCATATTCTTCCCCATTAGTGATGTTTGTAAAAAATATTACTCCGTAAAAAATTAGAATGATTTGCCTTACACAACTAACACATATAGGTCTTTTTGAAGTTGTACTTAAAAGGAGTTTTTGAATTTCTATTTGGCTGAAAATCATTTTTGGTAACTTATAAACCTACTTCCACTAATGGACTTTAGATATAATTCTTACCAAGTTGAGGTTAAGAGTTTTTTTTCTTCTGATTTATAATTAGAGTTTTTTCATTGTTTACTTTTAAACTTTTTAAAAATTGCATGAAATCTTCCAAAACTTCTCCGCTCTAGATTTAAGTGTATGTTAATTACACGAAGTTTAAGAGGCATGAACTATTAATTTAGTAACAGTCGTTATCATCAAAATGAAAATAAAAGGCAGTGTCATCAGATCTTCTTCGACTCAAGTTTTGTTTTGAGGAATTAGAAAATAATCGAAATAATGGAGTATGGAGTAAATAAAACTAAAAAAAGGATGAACCCAAACCCCGAAGACTTCTTCAGGTCCGACCAAGCGGTCACCAAAAGGAGGTAAATTAAATTTTAATCGCAGATTGATGGCAGATAATGAAACATACACATGATATTTGAAGAGATCATATATTGAGTATGATTGTTTCCCAATATAGTTGTCAGTAATCGAACTCGAGTTTATCATTTTAGCCCTCTTTGGCTTTCTAAACTCCACACAAAACTAAAAAGTATTGATAGGTGAATGTTGCAATGGCATGGAGCCATTGTTAAAAGAGGGGAGAAAAAGGGAGAGAGAGTCACCATTCACCCCTAACCATCCATTCACCCCACCAGATAACGCTCTGTTCTGTTTGTTTGTTGTCTTCAGGCTTCTTCCTTCCACCACCATTTCTTTTAACTGTACGGAGTGTTTTTCCTTTTTCTTTTTCTTCTCTTTCAATACTGTGTATACGTATATATATACCTATACATATACACCTACACACAGTACAGAAAATACAGGTACGTATAAATACGCGCACTGGCTGACGCACGCTCCATCCCTCACCTCCTTTCCTTCCCGTCTTTCCAATGGCAGCCTTCAGTCACTCCTCCCTCCACTTTCCCACCTGCCTGCCGCTTTTTTAGGGTTTTACGCGAAGATGACGATTCCCGAGTCGACTCGGACTCGCACCTCGCTTGTCGTTATGCACATAATTGTATAGCTCCGACTCCGAGAGGTGCTTTGATCGAATCGACTGTTTAGGGTAGGGTTGAACTGTGACGTGATGTCGCCATCTTCGTCCCACCAGCAGTCGAAGGTTTGCTTCAATTCCAACTGCAGAAAGGTTTCCGACCGGCAGAGAAAGGGCTGGCGCCGCCGCACCGGCGACTTCGCTGACCTCTGTGATCGTTGCGCGTATGTCTATTTTTTCCCCCCCCCCCTCAGACCCCTTTTTGACTCTTAGGGAATGTTGCGGGTTCACATTTCTGTTTTGCCTTTAAATCTTTATCATCTTAAATTTCTATTTTTTTTTTCTTTTTTCTTTCCGGCATTGATAAATGCATATGGGAACTAGTTCTGCTTATGAGGAGGGCAAGTTCTGCGAAACGTTTCACTCTACTTCTTCTGGTTGGAGGGCTTGTGAATCTTGTGGAAAGGTGCGCTCAAGTTTTCAAAATGATGAGATGAAAAAGACTATTGGTTTTTTCAGAGTTTTGTTTTCTTGGTCATGAGGTTAATCACCAATCAAGTTATGAAGGGTGAAATTCACTGTGCAGAAAATACATTGTGGGTGCATCGTATCCTTCCATACGTTCGTGCTGTTGGATGCAGGGGGGATTGAATGCATAACGTGCGCAAGGAAGAGCTTCATTTTGGTAAGGTTCTTCCCATTTTGTTTCGTTACTATTTCTGTGATACGGTATCATATCGGGAATAATAATAATAATAATTAATCCCGTATCATTCTGTTATTGGATCTTTGATTTCTTGGTTCGATTTTTTTCTTTTACTTCAAGCATTTGTAGTTCGAGCGTAGCCTTAATCGCATCCATTTTGATAAATTATCGTTAATATAGTTGCGTCATTGTCAAAATGCTTTCATTTCAAGTAAAACGAAAAACGCATTTGTAAATTCTAATTTATAAATGTCAAATGGTACACCTGGATCATGCAATTAAACTACATTATTTGACAAGTTATGGTTTATAACATGGTTTTCCATATTCGTTCTTGCCTATTGTATACACAGAAATGTTTTAATTGTCAAAAGATTCCCTAGAGGAACAAATAGTAAATTGATAATGCTGTACTTTTATTGTATTCGCCCTATTTCAGACACCGAATCCTGCTTGGCCACCTCCTTCAGACTTTCATCCTCTGCAACCTGAAGGAAATAAAGATTCCAGAAGTTGGACTCCAATAGCTGGTTCTGGTCCAGTTCCATGGCGTCAAGCTCCAAGCTTGTTCAATGGCTCTGTCATTCAGACTGAGTTGCAACCAAAAACACCATATGGTGATATCACCGATAGCAAAGACAGACTTCAGTTCACTGAAAAATCTCCCCCGTCTTGTCTCGAGACTAAGGAAAAAGTTGACTCTTTTGGAATTTTGCTAAGCAAAAGTCTGAAGAGTTCCGTATCAGGAAAACTTGAAAAGGAGATTAGTGGTAAAATAATGTTTGCTTCACAGGATCTGGTTTTGCTAAAATAATATTTTTCATGATATATCATAGTTTTTTCCGTTTAATTATACCAACGAGGTTTGAGTTTTAGGCTCAGTGAGTAAAATAATGTTTGCTTCACAGGATTTGGTTTTGCTGGAAAGCCTAACCCTTTTGCAAGTGTGACTCAACGAACAAACTCATCAAAGAACGATTTTTCATCTCCTAGCTTTCAATTGACAATAAGTTCTACAGCTGGAAATGAAGCAAGTGATCCTAGCAAGGTCTTTGAAACCCAAACTCAACCAACTAAGCTTTCACCTCCCATGGGGAGGCAGTCATGCAGTCATAACTGCACGGATTCTTCTGGAGAAGGTCAAACGTGTAGTGGGAAGTTGCAAGGAGGTGTTGGAGTGAAGCCCCACCTCCTTCGTCGGTATTATCCACGGGTTACCGATCAAGAACTGCAACAAATATCTGGAAAGTATCCTATAAGGAAGCGAATATTTATTTTTTAAAATTTTATGAAGCTTTTATTGATATATTTGAAGTTCGTCTAATTCTTTGTTCAGCCTAAAGCCACATTTACCTTTTGGATTTTATTGGAATCGATGTGCATTGCAAGAATGCAGTTCACTTTGTGCTCATGACCTTAACTTTGTGTTAGCACAAACTGTGTGATTACTCCTTTGTTTGAAAAGATGCTAAGTGCTAGCGATGCTAGCAAAGTAGGACGTTTGGTACTGCCAAAGAAATGTGCAGAGGTAATCTCCAATGCTAAACTATGCATCATTTGACTTTGTTATACATTGCTTCCCTACAACTGGTGATGTTGCTCAAACTATATATCATTTGAATTATATATATTTAACATGACCTGCGAAGTAGAATCCTATGGAAAGATACACTATTTGCGATGCCGATAAAGTTTATTATTTCACAGGCTTATTTTCCACCAATACTCCATCCAGAAGGATTACCTCTCAAAGTGCAAGACCCAAGAGGGAAAGAGTGGGTATTTCAGTTTCGGTTTTGGCCCAATAATAACAGCAGAGTGTATGTTTTGGAAGGGTTCACTGCTTGCTT